AGACCCTATTCTTAAACAGATCTTCCCAGAGACACCCATCCTAGCCTTCAGACAAGCACCAAACCTCGCCAACCTCATCACCAGAAGCAAACTTCCTCAAGCCCAGAACACACCAAAAGGATCCAGACCGTGCCAGGACAAGAAATGCAAAACCTGCCCCCACATCTCCACCACCCCCACTATTACTACACCCCACAACAGAGCCATCAGCATCCCAGGATCTTACAGCTGCACATCCAAGAACGTAGTATACCTCATCCAGTGCACCAAATGCCCTGATGGAAGATATGTAGGAGAGACCAGACAACAACTGCGCACCAGAATGAACGCACACCGGAAATCCATCAAAGACAGAAACACCCAATTACCGGTGGGGGCACATTTCTCACAGGAGGGCCACTCTCTCTCCAATCTCTCAGTCCTGATCCTCAAGGGAAACTTACACAACACTTCCCAGAGACGAGCCTATGAGCTCCATTTCATCAACCTGCTGGATACTAGAGATCGTGGACTAAACATAGACATTGGATTTTTGATACATTATAATCTTCCTGGCAACTGATTCCCCAGCCCAGCCCAGCCCCTGGCTTCTTTACTTTTCATTCCATCCAGGAAGAGCACACACCAACTGCTGAAACTTCCTTAGCCTGACAAAGGGTTTTTGAACCCGAAAGCTTGCTTAATAACTATTCTCCAACCATTTGGGTTGGTCTAATAAAAGATATCAAATTCACCCAAGGAACCTTGTCTGCCTATAAGGATGTTAAGTCATTTTTAAATGTCTATTTGCATGCAGTTATGGAGATGGGATTTAATATGTTCTTTTTCCTGACAAATTGTATAAAGCCTTAACAAAGTACACTAACAATCTTGTCTGTTATCTAGTTATATATATGCTTTGCTGAAGTTATTTTCTATCTTTCTAGGTCTCGATCTCCTGGAGGGGCAATCCCGACCAATCACATGGCAACAGTTTCAAATTGTAGACAATGACAACATTAGTGGTGTTGGTTTGGTCACAATTGATGGCTTGCATCATGGGCACCTCACTGTAAGAGGTAATTTGCCATCAACTTTTATATTTGATCTAGTAAGAGCCAAAATAAAATTCATGTCAGTATGATGTTATTAGCCTTGGTTAGCCTCTGTCATAGACTGCTGTTGTTTAAGAGTGAAATTTCCCCACTCTACAAAAGCCAGATTAACAAAAACATATTAAGGTGCCTAAAGAAGCAGTTGGATGGCCAGAAAGATTTTCAAAATACCTCAGTTGATTAGGAAAATTAATTGCAGTGAACTGTCTACTATACTTAGATGCTCTGAAGTCCCACTTGGAGCTTATTTGCATCTTTAGAAGTCTGAATACCTTTGTAAATCTATATAAAACTTAAATCCCCAGGTCCTCAGTTCAAAACTTAACTGTACAGAGGTCTTGCTACTGGTCCTATGCAAAGGAGTATTACCCAAGCAAACAAATTCAGATGACAGCTGTGCATAGTGGATCTCATTCTGTTCTTTGTAAAAAGTGTAAATCAGGAGTGCAACTCCACTGAGTTCAGTAGAGTTATATTAGTGTAAGGACAGTACGCAGGAGTGGAAAATATGGGCCAGTATGGCTTCATGTTGCTCTATGATATTTTTAAAGAAGAACAAAATTGAGGTTGTTTTTCTTTTGCAAACTTCATTTGGAATAGCTGAAGTATCTCAACCTGTGCCTTTACCCAGAATTTCAATTAATGTTAGTTTGACCAGTGTTTGAACTGAGGGAACATAAACCAGTACTGCTCTACAGGGTTTCTTTTCCTTTCCAGTTTGTCAAACCTATACTAGATGATGGCTTTAATTAAATCACTATAGGAAGAAATCTGTTAGCTAACTTGTGCTCCCTCTGTTGAGCGGCTATGCTTACTGCAACTGAATAATAATGTACAGTAGAGCTTATACGAAGATTGAGTATTTTTATAATAGCATTTTTATAGAAATCTTTTTAGAAAAATATAGTATGCTTTGAGAGGTGAATATAAATAAACAAATAATACATTAATTGAGTAACCATGTTCCAGGTAAAATTTAATTACTTTCCTTTCCTGCTTCTTTGGTAAAAATGATGCTGAAGAGTAATGGAGCTTGCTGACTTGTAAATAGGCATTTAGAATATTGAATTGTTTTATTTTCCAGCAGGTTATAAACAATAAAATTATGGACCTAAACTTCTTCATAAGATCACTGTTAATCCCTAAATCACATCAAATCTTAACTTCACTGAGTGATTAGCTTTGATCTAGTGGATGATATAACTATTATTTAGAGTTTATTGAAGATGAATAGTTTCATTATTTTTCAAAACTGCTGGGTCTAATCCTTTATTCCATTATATCAGTTATTATGATAGAATAGCTCTATTTATACATTGATCAAAGTGAGAACTAGGGAATAGTTAAAATAGTTTTTTTGAAGAAAAATGGGACATTGTCACTATAACAACTAGAGATGTAAACAATCACTCCTTGTATTATGAACAGCATATATGAAAAATATTATGAAAGACCTAACTGACTTTTCAGATTTTATTTTTTTGATTAAATTTTGCATTTTACTTAGTTTGAAATGATATTTAGCTGATTGCTTTCACTCTCACTGTTACTGTCAGTTTTGCTGGTTCTCACTTATTAGCATAATGTTTTTTGTGGTTTGGGAAATTTTTAAACTATGTTTACATTTTTAATTAAAATTAACCCACTCAATCATGAAATTGTTTTTAACAAAATATTTCATTTGTTTGATAGAGAACAGCATAAATGATATAATAATACACCTCTGCAGGACAAAGTAACTATAAAAAAAGAAAGAGTTTTAAGTAGAGGCAGCACAAACTTCAAATATGCATTTTCTTTATTCTAGCAAGATATTATCTGAAGTCTTTGATGATATATGCAGTACTATTGCCATAGCTTTATAAACAATATATAAATTCCACAGCATTATCTACAGTATATAAATTTATACTAGGATGTCAATTTCCATCAGCCATGAGCAGAGCCAATGTAGCTGTGTTGCCCCAGAAATAAATTAGGAAGCAAACTGTGATTTATCACAATCTGAACTCTGTTTTCTTCCATTCTTTTCATGGGAGGGCTAGTGTTAGAGCACTTCCCATGCCCCATCGTAGCCAATTTGCAACACACGTGCCACCAGCAATGCACAGATTTCATAAATTTCATAGACATTAGGGCTAGAAGGGACCTCTTGAGATCATTGGGTCCAGCCCCCTGCCCAAGGGGCTGGAAGTCAGCTGGGGTCAAGATAAGCATCTAAGCATTTCTTAAAGGTATCCAGAGTAGGTGCTTGCACCTAATCTGGGGAAAGTCTATTCTAGACTCTGGAGACTTGGACAGTAAAGAAGTTTTTCTTTATGTCCAGGCTAAAACCATCTTCCAGCAGTTTGTGACCGTTAGACCTTGTCTCCCCTTGGAGGGCCTTGGTGAACAGATGTTCTCTCAGTTCCTGATGCACATCCCTTATATTCTTATAGGCAGCCACCAAGTCACCCCTGAGCCTTTGCTTCTCCAGGGTGAAGAGTCCCATGCCTCTCAGCTTCTCTTCATAAGGCTTGTTCTCTTGACCACTAATCACGTGTGTGGCAAGCCTCTCCACATCCTTTCTAAAGTGTGGAGCACAGAATTGGATGCAGTACTCCAGCTGCAGCCTCACCAACGCTGAGTAAGTGGGAGGATAACTTCTTGGGTCTTGCTTAAGGTGCATCGGTAGATGCAAGCTAGAGTTTTGTTTGCTTTGCCAGCTGCGGCATTGCATTGGTGGCTCATGTTCATCTTGTGGTCAATCATAACCCCCAAGTCTCTTTTGGTCGTGGTGCTAGTGAGCGTAGCACTGCCGAGCCTGTAAGTATGAAGTGGGTTTTTTCTCCTGAGGAGGAGCACTTTGCATGTGCAGCTTCTGTGTGTGGCATGCAGCAGACAGGGGAAGAGACAGGCAAAACAATAGCAGATAGGATAGGGAGCAGAAAGCAGAGCAGCAAATCAGGCAGTGGAAGGGGATCAAAGTGGAACTCAGAGGGTGGGGGGCTAATTTGTGGCATGCCTGATAAAAAGTTTGTCCCCTACTGCCATACCCATCCTTTTTCTCTCCCTTCCCCATATCTCCTCCTCTACCCCCCCAGCCAGGACAGTAATGAGCTCAGTGACCTGACTAGTTGTAGGTGAATGGCATGCTGGGTCTAGGCATTTCCTTTCCTTTTTTGTGTCCTTTTGTGACAAGACATTTAGTAGAATTTGCAGATTCATCGGAATCTGACAGGCAGCTCTGTGAGCACTTCTGCTGTGGCCTCAAATTTTTTACCTCTGGGCTGTCAACCATGTGTTTTAGCACCCATGCCATTCCAGCCCTGCCCTAGGCACTGATGTAGTGGGCATGCCCAAATGGCAGCATCTGGGAAGCCTGTTCTGGGGCAACAGCCTGCATCTGGGGAAGTAAGAATGTAACACCTCCCCACTGCCTCCTTTCTCATGCAGCTCTACTTAGGGCTCCAAACATTTCTAGCTATGCCTCTGATGAATGCACAGAAGCTTCTCTCCCAGCAACTCTGATATCCTGCCTAATAGCCTCCTTATTCTCTTGCCTGGACACATAGGACAAACCACAATCCTGTCATCAATAAACTTCTTAGCACATATCTTTCTTCTAATGAGCAGTTAGAAATCAAGCCTCAAAGGAAAGCCTAGAGCTAGGACTCCTGCTGAGGAGAGCTAGTTCAGTAGAGGTTACTCATAAGGGTCCTGCTCCAATGCCCACTGAAATCTGTGCAAATACTCTTGTTAACATCACTGAACATTAGATCCAACTGTCTGCTAATTATGTAGTATGCTGTTATGCTATGTGTTATTGTGTGGCAAAACGTAGGGCCTACTCCTAATATCTGTTGATTGATCAAAGAAGACTTCTTAGTGTATGGTATGATATATGCCAAGTTGGACATAGCGCATCAGGGAATTATGCTTCTGTTGTATGCTGTAGCGCAATGTTCAATTTCATTCTCTCTGCACCATCCTATAAAGAGTTTTGTGGGAAGTGCCATGGAAGAACCATGGGATCTCCAACTAAGTTGAACCTCCTTTCAAATTACAAGGATTGGAAATTCTCCAGCTATTCCTGCTTCCTGCT